GGTGCCATGGCGTCCCGGTGGCTCAGTGGTTAAGAGCATGATGTGGGAAGCAGCAGGTCCCGGGTTCGAGACCGCTCAAAGTACAATTTTTTCGGGACCAGATTTCTCGAACGGCAGCTCAAGAGGAGTTGCGACATCGCCGCCGACAAGCTGGTTCGGTGGCTGAGCGGTCAGGGTAGAGGAGTTGACTAGACTCGGCACTCGGGGTCGCGGGTTCAAATACCCAATGTGACCCCTCTGAGGTAAGGCCTCTGAATCTGGACTCTCACTGTACCACAGAAACCGCGCGCACTTCGGGTGGGCCAGCCCAATACGAACCCACTAATCTGTCGAATTGCGCGGCAGGGAGCGTCGGATGAAGGCCCGGTTCCCATAAGAACACCGAAGCTGATCGGCGGGTCTCCTTGAGACTTTCGTATTGCCACTTTTTGCCGCCGATTTTTTCGTTTGTTTGTTGAATATTTTTATTTAATTTTTTTATTAGGTAGGCGAACTATAGGTAGGCGAAAAATGGTAATATTTTATTGAATATTTTTATTCAATATTTTTATTAGGTAGGCGAAATATAGGTAGGCGAAATAGACAGGTAGGCGAACATTTAGGTAGGAGAAATGATATAGACTCCCAGAATGAGGGGACTTTTATTCAGAGTGTACACTCTAAATGTCTTACGAAGAAATTTCCCATACTGCGAAGGAAATGGCGCAAGCATAATACGAAAGTGTTTTTTCTTCGTATAACGCAGATTTTTGTTTGTATCTTACAATAAAAATGCTGGAAAGGAATATTGCTTCATATTATGCTTGCGCCGAATCCACTGTAACATACGAATAACATTGGCCAAATTTGAGACATTTAGAGTGTACCTGCACTGGGCTGGCGCGCCGGCGGTACATGTCCTTGTTGAGAGGGCGATTTCTCCTCCATCCCTGTGGCTCACGGGATTTGCTGCCAGCTTCATTAGGGCAGGCGAGATCACAGAGAGGGACTGCCTGCCCCGGCCTGCCCCGGCCTGCCGCTCGCACCTGACGAGAGCTTGCTGGTGTCTGGCGCATATTACCTGGGCCTACACTGCGAAATGACGTAGTCTTTAGAAAACCTTAGAAAGACGCAGTGGTGCGAAAAGATGGTTGAACACTCTACAAGGTTTACATAGAAGATTCTCCGTGCTACAGTGAAAATTATCTACCATATTATAGTGGGGCAGTTGATTTTGCAACTAACCTTTGAAAGTACATTGTACCTTTTGGATGTTGTGTCCAATTTCTATTTAGAGAAACTCTCTACCACAATTATGTTGAAGCAGCCTCCCATCGTGAGCGCATCAACAATGAACCCTGATTATCTACGACCTTGTCCATGCGTTTCATTACCTAGATGCAAGGCCGACAAAAACAAACACAATTCGTTTTCAGGTTATTTGAAAATGAAAACAGACCGGAATCACACAGCTAATATGGTTAGACACCCTTTCGTGCGTAACCCCGCCCCGGCTAAACCGTGTATTTTTTTCTTCTTTAAAACAAACGACAAAGCAAGAACAACAATGGAATTAGGGGGAGATGGAGACGGAAGATACCGGGACAAAAGATGAAGAGTCAGAGAAGGAGGCGGCAGGCGGGCGGGGACTCCTTGAGGGGGTGCTAGGCGTTAGCAACGCCCGGGGTGAGGCCGGGGCGGGCGGCAGGGTGGCGGCCCGGCAGGCCTGGGTAAAGCCACCTTACCTTTCCATTTCGCGTCCCAGGGACCGCGTTACCAAGGTAACTTACCCCCACCCCTGCCTCATTGCGCGCCATTGTGTTATCTGGAGCACGCACCGCGCGTCCTACACTGCCAGCAGGGGTTCGTCCTCTGCTGCCTGACACCTTGTCCCTCTCGCTCTCACTGGAAGTCCAGGAGGAGCGACAAGGATGGAGCTGTGAAAAACGTCACGTGATAAGTGGACGCTTCCCAAGCGCGCTCGCGAAAGGCTCCGCCACTCGAAGACGCGTCAAGGCGGCGACCAAAAATTGAAATCCCAGCGTCGGGGTTCCCGTGCGTCGGGATTCAAGTTGTGCGAGTGCATCATTTCTCGCCCGTGATTGGGAGGTATGAATTGTTGAGCTCGCCCACCCCACCCCGCCCCGCCCCGCCCCGCCGCGCCCCGAGGTGCGTACATAGGCTGCGCTGCTTTGTATCATGGAAGCGTGAAATTTTCACGGCAACTGCCCCGCGGCTGCCGGTCATGTTTTATTGTGGCGGGCTGCAGGCCGGCCGAGGCCGCATTCCTTGTTGAGAGACTCGCCGCCCCACCCCGCCCCGCCCCCGCCCCGCCCCGCCCACCTGGAGTTGGCCAGCACGCCCGGCTCGGCGCGCGGTCCGGCCCGTCTGCCCGTCCGGCTGGCTTGGCCACAGATTTATTTCAGCCTTTATTCTTTTGCCGCCCCTCGGAGAAAATCCGTGTCGCGACACGCCTCGCGGTGCGGTAGGCCTCTCTGTGGCCAGACAGCGCGCCCCGCCCCGCCCCGCCCTGCCCCGCCCCGCCCTGCCCCGCCCTGCCCCGCCCCGCCCCGCCCCGCCCCGCCCCGCCTTTTCTGCTCGACCCCAGCCGCGCCGCGCACAACGGCGCGGAGGCAGTTACCGTATATTTTCACTTGGGAGGGATAAGTGCCGGCTCCCTGTATGACAGCTGTACGAGCGCCCACACCGCAACACCACCACCACCACCACCACCACCACCACCACCACCACCACCAGCACCAGCACCACCACCGTCGTCGTCTGAAACGCTCGATTAAAGCCTTAAAACGTTTAAAAATGTGAAATTTCTCAGATTAATAAGGTGTACATCCGGACTCGTACTCCTATATGCACCAGAACGGCGAGTGATTCACCCTTCGGCTGCCAGCACCACCACCACACCACTACACTCCCTGCAGCTTGACGTGCTTAAGGGCCGTCGAAAACAACCCCGGTCTGCCGCTGGTGTGGCCACTGGTCGTTGTCCGAAGGCGGAGAGATACAGGGATAAGGCCCCTGATACGAGCCGCACTGCCTCCATGGCCGCCAAAGCCATTCCCGGACACCAGGCCGTGCCAGCCCGCCACGCCAGTGCGCCAGCCAGCCAGCCAGCCCGCCATGCCTCATTCCGAACATACGTCGCTTTTTATGGGCGTTCATTCTCCACGCATGGAGTACCGGGCGGGCCTCGTACAGCCCCGATACACACGCACGCACACAGAGGCGCACGCCCACACACACACACAAACACACACACGCACGCACACATAGACACACACACACACACACAGCCTTATCAGCGGGACTCGCGACGCGCGGCGGTGAATGGCATATACGATGGCACGAGCGGAGGGCAGGAAGAGAGAGAGAGAGAGAGAGAGAGAGAGAGAGAGAGAGAGAGAGGGGGGGGGGGCTGATGAGGCGTTGGTGGGGGCGAGTGGCGCCCTGTAAGAGGATGAGCAGTGAATGTTTGATTCGCCTTGCCGCGCCTTGCCACGCCGCGCCCAGGCACAGCGCCCCTGCCTCGCCCTGCCTGCACAAAGGATCCTTCTTGGGGATGCGCTCCGTGCCACTGCACTGCACACAAAAAGAAGAAAAGGAGGAAGGGGGATGTGATCCTCTTCCGTTCTCTCCGCTTCTCGCTCGCCGCCATTTTTTACTATTTTTTATCATTTTATTTTTTGCGCGCGTCTTCGCGGTTGCCGCGCACTGAAGCATAATGCTTTGGCGGCGAGCTGTCGCCGTTTCTTCGAAAATGCGGATCGTCGCAGAGACTTGCACACTGAGAGTCGCTTTCGTCGCTCTGTCTCTCTCGCACTCATGGGGCGTCCCGTTTAGGTGGGAGAGAGACAGCGCGACGAAAACGACTCTTGGAATCACTTCACTGGGAAAGAGGAGGGAGAGGAATCGTTCGGTTTCGTTAGTTGATGCCGCCTGCGCTGCAGTGCACGGCAGTGCCGCCGAACGCCCGCGAAGTCCGGTGTAGGCAACCCGCTCGACCTACCGGTGTGGCGGTCCTGCCTTGCCTGCACTGTAAGGGGCCCTGCCAGCTCCAAACTCGCATTCGCCCCGCTCGCCAGCAGCAGCACTGACCCGCCCCGCCCTAACACGACGACGAACTGTGGGGACCCCGCCCCGCCAGCGGCAGAGAGTGCAGTCTTTCCCTGGAACACCGCCATGCACCGAGCAGGCCTAACTCGTGTTAACAGCACTTGTTGTGGTGCGAGAGTGTGGCGGAACAAGGCTGTGTGTGTGTGTGTGTGTGTGTGTGTGAGAGAGAGAGAGAGAGAGAGAGAGAGAGAGAGAGAGAGAGAGAGAGAGAGAGGGGGAGAGAGAGAGTCTGCCTGTGTATGTCTGTGTGTGTCTGTGTGTTAGGGGTGTTAGCCACGGGTCCGACCTCATGAAACAATACACACACTCATAGGCTAGACAGACTCTCGACCGCCAACAGAGAAACAACGCAGTGTATCAAGCACACAGAACACGGCAGGAAGGGGCAGCATCATCGCCCCGCTGGAAAGGCGCTACGCTGTGTCTGTCTCTCTCTGTTGCATGGCTCCGCTGCCAAGTCTCACACCATGTCCTTTTCTCTCTGTTGCAGGCGGCGAGTGCCTGGCGCCATGACGTGACGGCCAATGCGGCCGCCGCCCTCGCCGCGCGCCGCGGGGGCGCGCAGTGTTCGGTGGCGCGTGCGCCGCGTGTCCCCTTGCGTGCGTGTCCCCCGCGAGCCCCGCGCGCCATGCGAGCCACGCCGAGCCGGGCGCCGACGCGAGCCCCGAGGGCCCCGAGGCGCACCTCCTGCTGACTGGGGCCGCCATGCGGGCGCCCCCCGTCCACTGCCCTGGCGTCCTGGCGGGGGTGGTCCTGCTTCTGTTCGTGTCCCTGGGCGGCGGCAGCGGCGGCAGCGGCGGCCTCGGCGGCTCCGGCCCGGCGTCGTCCTCGTCGGCCTCGCTGCCCGTGCGCAAGATCTCCACAAGGCTGGCGCGCACCAAGTACGGCCTGCTGCGCGGCGTCATCCTGCAGCAGCAGCCCGTGGAGGCGTTCCTCGGCGTGCCGTACGCCACCGCGCCCCTCGGCTCGCTGCGCTACATGCCCCCCGTCACGCCGTCCATGTGGAAGACGCCGCGGCTCTGCGACGCCTTCTCGCCAGTGTGCCCGCAGCGCGCGCCCTCCATCGGCAACCGCACCGAGGCGCTGCTGGAGTTCCCCCGCGGCCGCCTCGTGTACCTCGAGAAGCTGCTGCCGCTGCTGGCCAACCAGAGCGAGGACTGCCTCTACATGAACATCTACGTGCCGCAGGAAGGTGAGTGTCCACGCCGCGCCACGCCGGGCACGCCGCCAGTCGACTCATTCCGAGCGTCGTTTTCGTCGCTCTGTCTCTCTCGCACCTGCACGGGACATCCTATGAGTGCGAGAAAGACAGAGCGACGAAAACGAATGTTGGAATTCCGTCGACGGGTCGCTAACGGTGTATCCGAACCTGGCGGCAGTGCGATCACACTGTCGAAACCGCACTGTGGTTCTAGTTCGACTTTCTGTCCCAATATTGGTAGCACCAGGCGTGAAGACCTATCTGCATTTCAGAGCGACCGAAAAACGCGCACCGCCCGCTTGATCCACTCCACTGGATAATCTTCAAGGGATAGCGTGACAGATGAAGCAGCTCAAGGCGAGCGGCGTGCCGAAGTAAAGGCCGTGCTGAAGGCTGCGTGGGGCCGCCCTTCGCCAGTGTGGGCGTTTGTGCCGCCCTGCAGACCGATTCCGAGAGTCGTTTTCGTCGCTCTGTCTCTCTCACACCCGTACGGGACGCCCCATGAGTGCGAGGGAGACAGAGCGACGGAGACGACTCTCGGAATCGGTCTGCAGGGCGCGGCGGGCGCTGCTGGGCCGTGGGCGACAGAAATGTCACGCAGCTGAGACTACTTTGTTGAGATGACGTCGGAACCCAACCCCGTTCCCCTCGCTGTTGTAAGAAACTCTTCGGGGCTGGTTTTGTCTCGCTCTTTTCCCAGTTCAGGCTACCCCCTCCCCTCCCCCTTTTCCCCTTCTCTCTCCCCCACTCCCAGCGACCGATACCGATATTATTTCAATGGCCCGTGATGGTTTGATCGGAGAAGTCGCGTCCCGAGTGGCTGGGAATCGTCACATTAAGATGGAGGGTGCTTCACCCGTTGCACCCCATCGAACACGCAGCCCCGCCGACGCGACAGGTGGCTTCAAGTAGCGCTTGGACTGGACCGGAGCCGTGGCCGCGCGGCCCGGCATTGTCGTAAAGATAATTTCCCACTGCCCGGCCGCGGCCTGCTGTCTTGAGCCTCATCCACTGTGAAACATTACTTGAGTACGAAACGAGCTCGGAAACACTGGAAAAAAGGTACGGAACGTCCTTGCTTGTTCCATGAATGTAAACGGGTAGTGGGCACTAAGTTTACCCTGGAGACATCCTCACTGTCTAGAGCAGTGGTTCTCAACCTTAGGGTCGCGACCCCAAGTGGGGTCGCGAAAAAATTTTAAGGGGTCGCGGCGAGGTAGCTGGGGTCGTGTTTTGGGCCGATTTTAAGCAGCCACTGCGTCTGATCCGAGGCGGGCATTTTGCTCCCTCAACCGGCAATTGGTCTTTGAACCTTCCTTTAGCATGCCTTTGTTACGGAGTGTGATTATCAGTCTTAGTTTGGGAGCAGTATTGTCTCAAAGTTTACCAAAACGGTCAGAAATGTCTTTGAAAAATCGTGTTTTGGGCCTATTTTAAGCAGCCACTGCGTCTGACCCGAGGCGGTATTTCGTCCTCCTTCAACGGGCAATTGGTCTTTGGACCTTCTTTTAGCATGCCTTTGTTACGGAGTGTGATTATCAGTCTTAGTTTGGGAGCAGTATTGTCTCAAAGTTGGCCGAAACGCTCAGTAATGTCTTTGAAAAATCGTTGTGCCTGTTTTGGTCAACTTTGAGACAATACTGCTCCCAAACTAAGACTGATAATCGCATTCCGTAACAGGGGCATGCTAAAGGAAGGTCCAAAGAACAATTGCCCGTTGAGGGAGCAAAATGCCCGCCTCGGTTCAGACGCAGTGGCTGCTTAAAATCGACCCAAAACATGATTTTTTAAAGACATTTCCGAGCGTTTTGGCCAACTTTGAGACAATACTGCTCCCAAACTAAGACTGATAATCGCATTCCGTAACAGGGGCATGCTAAAGGAAGGTCCAAAGAACAATTGCCCGTTGAGGGAGCAAAATGCCCGCCTCGGTTCAGACGCAGTGGCTGCTTAAAATCGACCCAAAACATGATTTTTTAAAGACATTTCCGAGCGTTTTGGCCAACTTTGAGACAATACTGCTCCCAAACTAAGACTGATAATCGCATTCCGTAACAGGGGGATGCTAAAGGAAGGTCCAAAGAACAATTGCCCGTTGAGGGAGCAAAATGCCCGCCTCGGTTCAGACGCAGTGGCTGCTTAAAATCGACCCAAAACATGATTTTTTAAAGACATTTCCGAGCGTTTTGGCCAACTTTGAGACAATACTGCTCCCAAACTAAGACTGATAATCGCACTCCGTAACAGAGGCATGCTAAAGGATGGTCCAAAGACCAATTGCCCGTTGAGGGAGCAAAATGCCCGCCTGGTCAGACGCAGTGGCTGCTAAAATCGACCCATGATTTTTAAAGCATTTCCGAGCGTTTTGGGCCAACTTGAGAAATCTGCTCCCAACTAAGACTGATAATCGACTTCCGAACAGAGGATGCTAAAGGATTCCAAAGCCATTTTTCGGGGGCAGGCGGTCAACGATGGCATGCTAAATCGGAGGCAGAAATGTCTCCAAAATTCCGGGATGCGTTTGGTAATTTTTCGGGAGACACAAAGCTCCTAAGCCTACAAGTTGAATCAAAGACCGCGATTCGTGAATTTTCGTGCACCCTCGTTTAAGGAGCGCCCCTGGCACGTCGCACCGGCACGATTTACGGATGGTCCCTTCTCGGAGTCGTCAGCCCCCGCGCCCCTGCGGCACGGCACGGCACGGTGGCGCCCTGCCGTCGCCCGCTGCGCCGAGCACGCTTGGCAGAATCCCAGTTCCCCTTCCTACTTACATGGCCCGCTGATTCTCAACAAACAAAATGGCGATAATGTGGAGACAGTGAAAGATGCGCTGCCGGCGGCGACGGTCTGGACTGCCGAAGGGAGGTGCGCAAATCGCTCGACACCGAAAAGACAAGCAAAATTTTGGACGAAATCTTGCGAGATCCAAAGACATCGCTTACCTTCAGGACACAAGCGGGGCTCGTCGCGTGCGAACGCTGCAGATGTGTGGGGTGGACTGGGTGCGGGTGCATCCAGCCACTGGAAAAGGCTGTCCCCGGTCCGCAGTGGCCGACATTCCTTTGCGCGGCCTCCCCCCCCCCCTCTCGGCACCGTCTTCTGTCGCCACCTTCTGACCTAATCCACCCCACTGTCTGCCCCGCCCCCTCCCTCGCCCGAACTCCGCCCTTTCGCGGAACAATCTTTCCGAGAGTTTTCCTCTGTTTTCGCAAAATACAATGTTTCATTTCCACTTGTGCTTTTTGGCACGGGCGCCGTGACCCCTGGAGGAGCGAGCAGCAGCGAGGGAGGCGTCAAAGGGATCCGCGTCCAGACTGATTCCCAGTCGTCGCTCTGTCTCTCTCGCACTCGTGGGGCGTGCCGTGTCGGTGCGAGAGAGACAGAGCGAGACTCTCGGAATCAGTCCTGCAGCCCAGCAGGCCGGCAGCAGCAACCAGATCCCCTTCTCCTTTTCTTTTTGCCTTCTTGTCCGTGCCGTTCTTGCTCCCTTGTCCATGCCAGCCCTTTCCAACCCGTTGCTGCCCGATCCCCCCCCCCTTCCCAAGACCCTCTGGTCCGCCTCCAGCGAAGCCTCCACCGTGCTCGCTGGAGGGCTTTAGGCCTCACTCCGGCCGGGCTGCAGACTGATTCCGAGAGTCGTTTTCGTCGCGCTGTCGTCGCTCTCGCACCCACACGTGACGCCCCGCGAGTGCGAGAGAGACAGAGCGGCGAAGACGACTCTCGGAGTGAGTCTGCTGGGCGGGCTGGGGCGGCTTGGTGGGCCGTACGGCTACTCGTGCGCAAGTTTTTAATGAGCACCCGTCACCGCGTCGTCAGGGAGTCACGGAGTCAGTAGGGAGCGAGGACGGGGACACCAGGGAGCGACACAGCGCCGCACCGCAAACCTCGCCGCGATGGGGGGATTAATTTTGCGCCGAGCCGGATGTGTCCTCTCAAGACCCTACCGAGCTTCCGCTTCGCGATAAGAACAAAAACTCTAGTATTATGACTGGTGATCGAAGGGTTCTCAGTCACGGTAAAAATAGTTCCTGGGTTTTCCAGGGAGCCTATGGTGAAGACATGGGCGATTTCCACGGAGTTTCTCAATGAAAATGCATCAAAAGGAAAGAAAAATTTACAAATTTGTATAAAATTGATACTGTGTCGCTTTAAAGGACTTCAAAAGTTCAGTTTGACACGACAACTTCTCTAAGCACTTTTAAGTGAAAGAGGAACCTTCAAGAGTTTCCTTACACTCTTAACCAGTCATTTACTCGCCCTGCGGAGAGGCAGAGACACCAGTTACTCCACCCGCCGTGGAAAAATGTCAGAGTAGCCTCGGGGTATATAGGCGAACATCAAAATAATTGGGCTGGATCGGGCCGAGTAAAGTTTTGCGTCTGCTGCCTGCAGTCTTGTTGTTGTTGTTTTTTTGTTTTTGATGAGTTCTCCGGTCCTGCATGCTTGCGACCCCAACACCACCCAGTTGTAACTTCTCAAGTTTCCCGCGCGTAAAACATGACCGGGAACGGCAAGGGTCCAGGGCGCAGCGGGCTGTGTCCTCCTCGTCGCTCTGTCTCTCTCGCACTCATGGGACGCCCCATCAACGTGCGAGAGAGACAGAGGGGACTCTCGGACTACTGGGCTGAGGGCAGCAGCCCGGGGCCCGATGCTCGGATAGCGGCACGGGTTTGGGTTTGAAAAGGGGGGGGGGGCAGGATGGGCTTTAAGGGGCGGGAAACCCTCCGCCCTTTGATTTGTCAGTGCGAAGCTCCACTGTGAAAGGGTGGGGTTGGCGGTAGCCCCCTCTTTTGTCTGCTGCGGGGTTTGCGCCGGAACTGTCCTTGGCCCACAAGCGAATCCAGGTATCGGCACGCACATGCTAATTCTTTTTTTATCAGTGTGCCTTCCTCCCCCTCCCCCTCCCCCCTCCCCCCACTCGCCGTCGAGGAATGCCCAGTCGCCGGTCGAGGGCCCTGAAACTGTTTTATGCGCCGTAAGGAGAACTGACC